AAGTGTGCATTTGCTGAATGATAAAATAGGGCTTTCTAAAGACAAGAGTTACAAAGTAGATCATGAAATTCAGTTTCCTGTAAAATGGGTTAAGAATAACTCCCTCACAAGACTCAGTTACAGATCCAGTTTTTGGGATAGATGGTTTTAATCTTATATACCCAGGTTCATTTTCTAGATGAGGATGGAATCATAATGGGGCAGTTAATAAGAAACCGCCTCTGAGCATGGCAGACAGGGAAGAGCAATAAGGGAGAGAAAAGGGGGGAAGGAAAAGATAAGAGGCAGCGAGGAAGGGGTGCCTGGCCCCAGACCCAAAGCCTCTTCAGGGCCTCAGTGTCCTTATCCACAATCTGTAGAGACATTTAACCTCACAGTAGTAAGGATAAGTTGGCACAATGAAAACCAGGTGGGTGACAGGGTATATACCTGTAGATCTAGCTACTCTGGAGGCTAAGGAAACAGAATCACTTGAGTCCAATTCTAGGGCAGCCTGGGCAACATAGTGAGACCCATCTTAAAAATAAAAGCTGGGCATGGTGGTTACACCTGTAATCAATGCACTGAGGAAGGTTGAGGCAGGAGGATTGTAAGGGTTTTTTTTTTTTCCTGTATTTTAGGGAAGGGTCTACAGAGTGTTCAGGGTCTCACTACTAGATCAGACTCGTAGTGATTCTCCTGTTTACAGCCTCCCAAATGCTGGGATTACAGGCGTATGCCACCACATCCAGTCTTAGGATTGCAATTTTGAACCTAGTCTGTGAAATTTAGCAAGAATTTAGGGTGAAAAAAGGATGCAGCTCAGTCTAAGACCCTGGATTCAATTCCTCAGTATCAATAAATAAATAATCTGTCTGAGATGCCAGTAGGTGCTCAGAGAGAGTAACACATCTGTTACGGGGGCCAGGGATATAGCTCAGTGGCATAAGTGCCTGCCTGGCAAGTGCAAGGTCCCAAGTTTGATCCCTGGTACTGCAAAAAAAAAAAAAAAAAAAAAAAAAAAGAAAGAAAGAAAAAGAAAAAGAAAAAAGAAAAGATCTGTTATGTCTGGCTCCAAGAAAACAGGTCTCTCATTACCTACACCAAAGGGTTCAAAAAAAGCACACCTAGGATTGGATGAGAAACCATTTAGAAATAATCCTCCCTCCCTGTGACCCCACACCAACACTTCCATCTACCCAGTAGCTACTCTAAAAGGGCTCCCAACATTTAGCAGAGGGCCTATATATACTGCGGTCTTGTAGCGTCTTTAGGTCAAGCTAGTGGCATGTGCACTGGGAGGCCAAGGAGCATTACTGTTGACAAGCAGACTTAAGATGATAATTAGGGCTTAGGCTCTGGGCCTTCCACTTCATGCTTGTGTCCCCATGCCCCACGGTGAGCTCCTCCCTCAACCTGTCTCATAACTGATTCCCATCCCAACTGTAGACCAAAATTTGCTTCTTAGGCCATGAAGAGCAGATATCAAAATAAATAGTCACCAAACCTATTAAATGGTAGAAGACTAAGTCCAAACATGTGATATTCTAGAGATTTACAAGTTGAAGAAATTAAACAGAGTTGGGCAAAGAATATCCAACCAGTGCTATGCCAGCAGAAGCTCACCAACCCTCCTCGGCAGCTGAAGAGACCAGGACCCCTGAGGGCCACTGGGCCTCCTCAATGCACAAGCCAGATTTCAGCCCTGAGAGCTGCACCAGACCGGGGCTCTTCTTGCCGGCTAAGCCCAGCAATGAGACAAGCTCCACCAGTCCTGAGTTCTGCATAGCTTCACTCCCAGAACACACCTTGGGAACCTGCTTTGTTCCCAAGTGCGAGGGGGCCACAGTGACACCTGCCAAAGTGAACACAGTCAGCCAGTAATACAGGATGGGAAACAATGTTTACTACCAATGGCTGCAAACTACTAGACCACTGGCAAAGCCAGGGGCAGAGATGTCCAGAGGGCAAGGTCCTACACTGACTAAAACTGGGTACCCCCATTTAGGAGGAAAGTCAAGGAAAGACATACCTTAAGAGCTAATCACTAGGAGGCTGGCCCTCAGAATGCTGACTATGTCTACTTAGCCACTGCAACCATCTTCTTAGAAAGCAGCATAGATTAGGAGAAGAGCCCAAGAAACTAAGCATTTTCCTTGGTTGTCCTCACAAAAGCCCATCAGGACCTAATCCAAGGCTACTGGTTGGTTTCTCTGCCCATCAATTTGTATTTTTGTTCCCACCATTAGAACAATGTGGAATGACCTCTGGCTTCACCCTCAGCTGCACTCAGAGGCACAAGGATTAAGAGATTAAGTAGGTGCTTGCCTGCCCACCACTTGCCCAGAACAGAACAGCCAAGGAAGAGGCAGCCTCTCAATTGTCCCCATGTTCCCAGGAGCTACTCCTTTAACCAGACTCTGCCCTACTCCAAACATGCTCACTGGCTGTGCCTTCCACTGCCCAGATTTAAAATGAGGTATGATGGCCAGGTATGGTGGTGCACACCTGTAACCCCAGCACTCAGGAGGCTGAGGTAGGAGGATCGCTGAGAGTTCGAGGCCAGCCTGGGCTACATAGTGAGTTCAAGGCCAGCCTGAGCTGCATAGCAGAAACCCTGTCTCAAAAAAAAAGAAAGAAAAGAAAAAAAAGGCAGTCTTGAATTCAATCCCAGTACCACAAACAAACAAATAAACAAATAAAACAAAGGACTAGGGTCACCCTGTTTGCTCAGCAGGGGCTGCGTCCAGATGCTCATTAAGTGGACCTATGTGAATGAAGAATCACACCAGGAAGGGATGTGAGACAGAAACTCTGCCCCAGGAAGCAGAGTTTACGACTAACACATGCCTCACTATGCAGATTAGCAACTGTCAAACAGTACAGAGCTGATTTAGGTAAAACCAGAGTCCCACAGAACCCAGCATACCCCACAGCAGAGGAAACTTCCTCAGAATGAGGAGCCCAAGGTATTAACCCACAGCAAAACAATCGCTATCTTTCCCACACCAGGGAGACAGTCTGACTGCAGCAGGCCCAGGCATTCTAGACTCAGCAGCACTTTTGGAAGGAGAGGCTAGGAAAAACAGGCCAGCTCTCCAGGCACATGGGCTGCGTACCGCCACCCTTCAAAGCTCTAAAATGCCCTCATGAGCAAGACATATTAAGCCATGAGGCTAGCTGGCAAAGTGTGGGGAAACCAATTTGTCTCTTTTCTTTCCAACAAAGTTTCTAGGTCAGAGGCTAGAGGAAGGGTATTTCTTCATAAAATTCAAATCTCTCAAGTGATTCCAGTGCAACTTAAAACTGAGATTCCTTGGGGGGGGGGGGGGAAGAACCCCAAAGCTTAAGCACCTACTATGCAGCAGGCGTAGTCCCTCGTCTAACAATTCGACCTCCATCTGTCTTTAGGAAAGGAAAGGGAACACTGGCAACTAGAACTACTTTGCTCCACAAACTATAGCTAGACCGGCTGGGGTCCAAGCCCAAGAATAACCTGGTTACCTGGTAGCAAGACAAACTGCTTTAAAATATTGATGCTCAGCAACCTTACACTGGAAACACCAACTTCAGCACCAGAGCAGACACTGCCAAGGTCACCCTGCATGGCCAAGTGTGAATGCATTTCTGGAAACAGCAGAATGGAAGATACTCCTTCGTACAAGGGACTCCACCTGCACAGAAATTCACTAGACCTGTCTCATTCACAGGTCAGGAGTAGTTAACTGATAGAGCACGCATGACAACAGACCTTATTTGATGCAGTAACCAGTGATTTACACGCCTGTAGGACACAGAGGATTTCCTCTAATCTAGGGCCCTATTTTACAAGACTGCTCTCAGGAATTATTACTCGGAACTCAGGAAACTGGTTAGAGATGAGACAAGCAAGACTCGACACAAGTCAAAAAGGCCCCAGAACAAAACTTGTTTTCTGTGCTCAGAAATCTTAAATAATCAGCAGGTGAACCACTAAAAACAGAAGAATCAGGTATGTGATCAAGTCCTTCAGCCCTCTTCATTTCAAAGGTGATTTGTACCTTTAAGAGCAGAACGGCTGGGTGGTGCTAAAGTGTCCAAGCTTTGCCTTCTAAATAAAGGGTTAAAAAAAAAAAAAAACACCTAATTTGAGGGGTTTGTACAAAGTATTAATTACCAGAAATAATAACTTTTGTGAACCATAACCCTTGAGGTAAAGGGAACAAAGTAGCAAATCAACTAATTGATATGGTCACACCAGGTCCTACCACCTACATTTCATGGTAGGAGATAAATTTAAACACAAAGTAGCCTGCACCAGTAGAACAAAGGCAGTTTTAACCTCAGTAACTGTCCCCGCGGGTATACCCTACTCCACCCAGCTGGTGAGGCCTCCATTCCCACCTGGAGTGAAGTGCACCGGGTTTGTGTTAACCACTGCACAGGGGCAGGAAGGGGCCCAAGCCCCGCGCATCTCCCAAAGCGAGGTCAGTTCCGCACTGCCCAGGACTTCCCTGCAATCCCAGTGACTTCTAGATGGCTTTCTTCCATTAGCTCTTTTCCTCTCCTATTCTTCCCCGAGTGAGGAAATAGGAAGAACGTAACCTAAGGCACAAAATAGTCGAAACTATTTAGCCTGCCTCTTAAGTGTCCAGCCCCGTGACCTCTCCAAGCACATTTTTAACCCACACCCCAGAAGGGTGAGCGCTTCCTCCAGATCTCCGGCCTGAGGCCGGGGTTGGGGTGGGGTGCACGTGACCCTAGGCGCCCCCAGGTGGGAGGATGGGTTTGGAGAAGACTTGACGTTAACAGGGCACATCAAGCTGGACAGCCTCTACCTCTGCCAACGCTATTTCCCCTCGACACATCAGAGCCCTGGATCTCCCGGCCCTAACTTGGTTTGATCTGCGCCTTTGCTGCAAACACCATTCGGATCACAGCGGGTCTCCCAAGCCATCCTCCCGGCTCCAGCCGCCGAGGATGTCTCCACATGTTCTCCGCAGTGAACTTCAGCGGTTTGGTGAGCTACATGGTGGTCGGATATGCCACCATCGCCAGGGCCACCCGGGACTAGCCCATGCAGCCCAGAAGTTAGAGGAGGCTCCGAAGTGACCCAAGAAACTCCAATCCTTCAGCGGGAGAAGAAAGGTTCCCGCGCGGACTCGGGGACCTCCTCGCCCTCGGAGCACCCGGCTCTGCCTACTGCCCGCCCCACCGCCGCCTCGCCCCTCCGGGCTCCGACTGGGTACACACGACCTTTGAAAAGTAAACGCGAGTGGGGCTGGACGACCTTGGGTGGGACAAGCTCGGGTCCGCCCTACCGGCGGGGGCGCGTGCCCGGGGAAAGTTGGGGCGCGGAGGGGCTCCCGGGGTGCGGCGTCCTCGCCCCCGCCCCTGAGAAGAACAGTGACGCGCGTGGGGCAAGCCCGCAACCCGACCTGTCAGCAGCTGCAGCGCGGCGCAGGAGCAGGGCGCGCGGCAGGCCTGGCCTGCATGACAGGCCGGCGGGAGACAGCTCCCCGCACACGCCCGGCACCCTCAGCGCCGCCCCGGGGCACCCGAACCGCCCGTCGCACCCTACACCTGCGCCTCGGCCGCCCCATGACAGGGACGGCGCCTCCTCAGGGCCCGGGCAGGGGTGGGCGCTGCAACTCACCAGCTCCTTGGAGACCGTCTGGTCCCGCCGCCCCCCAACCCCCGCCTCGCCCCGCGGCCCGGCCCGCAGCGCAGCACAGCGCTCCGACCGCCTCCCCACGTGCTCGCCCAGGCCGGAGGAACACAGAGACATTAAATACTGAGGACGCGGCGACGTGCCCGCGGCCGGACGCAAAGACCCGCCCCTCGCCCTCGAGCCCCCGCGCCCTCCCACTCGCTCGCTCACCTGCGCGTGCGCGCCGCCGCCGCTCCCACTGTACCGCGCGCGCCTCTCAGCTGCGCGGGCGGGGGCGCGGTCTGGAGTCAACGTCCCTCGGCCGCCTGGAGCTGGACCGGCCCGTGCTCTCGCGAGAAGAGCTGTAATCTCGGTGGGCCCGGAGGGGGGAGTACCGGTGCAGTGTTGGAGCTGGTCGGCCCCGGGGTCATCTGCGTGGCGGCCTCTGGGGTGGTTCGGAGCTTCTGCCCTCGGCAGTCTGAAGGGATCCATTTGAAGGATCTTGCCTCCAGACCGACGCAGAGAGGCCAGCTGTCATTACTTTGTATTGCACTGCTTGGCCGTTAGTAATGGCTCAATAGTTAAGTGCAGATTGGGCGAACATGCTGCCTCTCCAATGCGTCTTTCTTGCCCAACTTAGTTGTGGGAGTGGACCACTTTCCTCTAAATGGGCTCGAGATTTGGAATGATTCCTAGAAAAGAGTGACCTTGACCTGCCTCCACCAGGAACTTGAAACAGATTTCCTCCAGACAGTTGGACAGGGTGCGGCTCTGGCTGGTCAGCCCTGTTCTGAATCCTAACTCGCAGAGACTCGAGTATTTCGATAAAATACACAAAACAGATAGTGCACGCTCTGCTTGTTTGTGCGCACCTGTAGCCCCAGCACTTTTGAGAGGCTGAGGCTGGAGGGTCACGAATTGGGAGCCCAGCCTGGGCAATTTACTGACCTAGCCAGACCATGTCTCAAAATAAAAATAAATTTACACTTGATCTTAGCCAAAAGGACGAAAAGCGATTTAAAAAGGGGTGGGGGTGGACTGCATCTCATTGTGAAGGCCCTACGTTCAATCCCAAACACTGTCCATAAAAATCATATTAAGAACCAATCATTAGGGCGGGGGAAATAGCTCAGCGGGCTTAATCGCCTGCTTGGCAAGCGCAAGGTCGCGAGTTCGGTCCGCGGTACAAAAAAAGCAAAACTAAAGAACCAATCATTACTTGGGAAACTTACATGTCTTCATTAACGATTAAATGCGAATTTCAAAGACAATGAGATACCATTTACCTATTGAGTTTTGGGTGTAAATTCCTGTAAATATGAATCCCAAGTGCAAGATGTGATAGGGACCATGCGGGACACAAGAGGAAACTGACAGTCAAAAGAAATAACAAGACCAGCTTTAGGTTTTGCAGTCAGGAAAAATGTAAAGTGAAGTTTAAATAAACATGTTGGAAGGGAAGAAGGAGCCAGCCATGCAGACTAAATAGGGGCAGCTGGCTGTAGGTGTCACAATGTTCCCAGCAGAGCCACAACACAGGCAAAGACAAGATACAGTTTCTGGGGCCAGGCAAGATCCAGTCTGTAATCCCAACCCTGGGGAGGATGAGGCAGGACGATCGCTGCAAGTTTGAGGCCAGCTTGGCTCCGTAGTGAGCCCACTATGTATGGAGACCCAAACAAAACAGCTCTGGGGAACTGGAAGAGAGTTGAAGGAGGTCAGATTGTTGGGCGTTGGGGGATTTGCGGGGAGAACAGCAGCCACCTAGTGACCCACAGTCAGGTTTGGAGTTTAATCCACTCTACTCAGCCTGGAAGCCAGAGATGACTGAACCTCCAAGCCTTGGGCTGGGCTGTCTTCTCCACCTGGAATGTTCTGCAGAGATCTTTGAGGACTACACCCTCCACTTCTCTGGGGGTCAGCTACTCAGTCTGAAGCCTTCTCCTGACTGCTTAAGACTGTAAACACACACACACACACACACACACACACACACACACTTCCCTATCCTTCACTCCCTTCTTGATCTTTCTACACTGTTCTATCACTACCATCTGCTTTATTTCGTGAGGCAGGAGGTACTAAGAGGAGCAACCAGCAGAGTGCTGTGTATCCTTGCATTTAGTGAGCGAAAGGAAGGCCACTCAAGAGGCTTAGGCAGAGCGGAGCGGCACATTCAAATGTTTGTTTTAGAAGTTGACCTATAAACTGAGTGGTGATACACACCCGTAATCCCAGCGCTCAGGAGGTGGAGGCACGAGGATCCAGAGTTCAAGGCCAGCTTGTGCTGCATGGCAAAAACCTAGCTCATAAAAAAAAAAAAAAAAAAAAGGAATAATAGCTGCTCTGAGAAGAATAGGTAAGAGAGAGACACCGACATGCAAGCACTGAGAGCGGGTAAGAGAC